GAAAGAGTTATTGTAAAGAGATGCAGCAGATTTTTATGTATATGTAATAAGATACATTGTAGTTAGTGTTTTTTTTGTTGTATAATTATTTAGTTTATATTTATATTGTGTATTATTATTATAGTTGTTTATATTACAAAAGTATATAAAGTTTATATGTCATATATGTTTAATTATATTTCTCATTAATGTCATTATTTTTTCTCATTAATGTCATTATGTTTAATTATATTTCTCATTATTTGTCATTAATGAATCTCTTTTATTTTCTTCTATCTTTACATCTTTACATTTACGATCTTTACATTTGGATTAAAAATAATACATTTTTATGTCTACGCAACACATATCTGCTGGAAAAGTTATACAATTATAATGTTTTAAGATAAAGTTTTTACAAATTACTGTGTTTACTGACTATTTAGTCAACCTAAAAGAAGGTTAAATGTTGATGGTAATAATTATTCTGATAAGAAAGATAATTGCTGCATAAAGGGAATTTTAATGTTACTATAGCTACTAATATTATATTATATTTATTTCAATCTTTAAAAAAATATAAGCAATATATCTACAGTCATTTAAATAATTAGATCTACAGTAAACCAGCTTTTATCAGATGTCAGGTGATCTATTTACGAAAATATTACTTTCATCTCTTAAAAATTAAAATAGACATGGTATATTTGTAATTAATTCAACGTTAAGATCTTGTACACAATCTTACCAGAATAATTATTATCAGTATTCTTTTTATAGTAAACAGTCAGCGAACACAGTTTGTAAAGACACTATCTTATAATGTTATAATATACAATTTCATAACCTTTCCAAAAATAGTATATGTTACGTAGACAAAAATGCATTAATTTAAAAAAATATAAAGATCCCATCACTGAAAATAAAAGAGATTCATTTATGACTGGAATATATTTAAACATATGACATATGAACTTTATATATTTTTGTAATATAAACAATTATACAACAAAAACGCTTACTTTTAACTATAATGTATCTTATTACATACATCTCTCTCATAAGAATTTGTTATGTTGCTAAAATAACGAAACTCCTTCAAGTCAACACAGAAATATGTTTTCTCAATGTAATTTTATTTCAAGAACAAGATTTGGAAATCCTACAGATATATTTGATACTAAAAACGTAAAAACAAATTAATAAAGTGACATAAAAAAGGTTAAAATATCTGTCATGTATGCAGTAGACTATGTGAAAGAACATAATGTTAATATCTGTATTATTTATATATGTATAAGTTTACTTCTGTGTTTTCCATGTGTTATACTATCTGTAAATTAATAATTGTACTGTATACTGCATCTTATCGCACATAATATTATATATATCATGACGCCATGATACACGGGAGCGTGTATAAAATGATGTTTTTGAATGATCATTTAATCGCTCCGGGATAGTTTATTAGGCTAATATTACATTTATCGTACGACAAATTTTTTAAGCACATTTATTGGCTGCAGAATAGATAGTTTCTAAAGACTCAAAAAAATAACTATCCCGCAGCCAATCAATATGCTTAAAAAATTTGTCGTACGACAAATGTAATATTAGCCTTAGACATCATTGCCCAATCATAGCCATTTTCCTGAAGAATATAATCATACATATTTCAGAAAAATGGCTGTGATTGATTAATGACATCTAGTAAACTACCCCGGAGCGATTAAACCCGACCATTCAAAAACGTCAAAAAATACGCATTAATGCGTTCAGCAGAAAAAGCTGCTTTGTGACTGTTGTAAAATTTGTGAATCCAATCACAGTCAAGTATGAAGAGAATACTCGACTGTGATTGGTCAATTTCTTAATGCTTAGGGCTTAAATTACCTATTGTAGACGGGACTTGTGGCCATCACACATGAAATTCCATAAGCACGTAAGACGTAAACGTAAGGAAATCGACCAATCACGGTCAAGTATTAGCCCCTCCAAGGGGTCAAAACTCGACCGTGATTGGTCGATTTCCTTACGCTTATGTCTTACGTGCTTATGGAATTTCATGTGCGAAAGCCTTTAGCGACAGAAGTCAACGCAAGCTTTATTTTGTCTTTGTCATTCATTGATTATTGAAAAAGATAGAATGGTACTTGTGTATCCATTTGTGTCGTTAAATGAAAACACCCCTACTCTAGACATGACAGATCATGACAGATTTTCTAATCTCATGAATATTATTATGTATTAATATTACATAATATTTCTAGTTAAACATAGCTATCTATAAGATTTCCATATCTTATTCTTCATCGTACATTGAGAAACCATACTTCAATTCTAACTTGAAAGGTTTAGCAATATGAAGCAAGTTCTTATGTGTATATGGTAAGGTACAATTAAAAGCAAGTATTTTTTATGTTATATTTTTCATATGTTATATATTTTTCATATGTTATATATTATTTTATATATTATATTTATATTATATATTATTTTATATATTCTTTTTTTATATTTATATTTTTATTATATTTATATTTTTTAAATATTTTCTGTTAATAACGATATAAGAGTATATGCAAGAGAAGCTAAATAATTTTCCAATCGTTGTATAATCTCATTTACTATATCAATGGTAGTTAAATTATTAGGCTTACATTGCATATATATATATATATATATATATATATATATATATATATTCTCTTGTATTGTAACTGTCAATGAAAATATATAAAAAATACTTGCTTCTAATTGTATCTTTTACATACATATAATAACTTGTTTTGTGTTGCTAAAATAACAAAACTCTTTCAAGTGAGCACAGAATATGCTTCCTTAATGTTAATTTGTCGAAATATTAAGATTCGGAAATCTTGCAGATATATTTGATATTAAATATATATTGAAGTATTAAAATACCTAGTGATATATGTGAAGTTAAAATATCTGTTATGTATGAAGTAAACTTGAAGGAACGCAATGTCATATATGAACTAGAACATAAAAGAATTCAATTTTAAAATATCTTTATTTATACATATATAAATTATATATTTCATGTGTTTCTTATATATTAAGTGCATATTTCTTGTGTTTCTCTTTGGTTTTCTTTGCGTTTGCTGTCTAAATTAATAATTATATTGCACTTTCTCGCATATAAAATCTCATGACATATTTTACTTACATAAGACATAGTATAACAAATATTGATTAGCATAACAAATAGTAGATTAGCATAACATAACATAATATAGTAGTTATTTTAAAAATATTTAAAAGATATTAGTCTTTTCAAATATTGCACAAATTTTATAAATATTAAAAAGTCGCAATTATAATGATGTTTATACAATGTTAAAAACTACATATCAAAAAATGTTACATGCTATTGAATACCATTGCATTAAATTTTTTATCAATCATATTTTTTTTAACAGATGAAGTTTTTTGATGAGCAAATGTTAAAGTGTGATTATAGTATTATGCTTCAAAGTAAAATTATTTTAAATGTAGTGATTACATTATAACATAGTATGCTTCTTTAAAATAAAAGTTTTAAATTAACACAACAATTAAAGCAATTACCAAAATGACATTGTCCACATGTAGAGTTTTACTGTAAAGTTTTGCCTTTAGAGTTTGCATGTAGAATTTTTTGTTTATTATGTATCCATGTTTTTATTTGCGGCGATGTCCGGTGAAATAAACATTTGTATTTCTTTTTTATTTCTTGAATTTCTCGTAAAGATGGTAACGTTAAGTTCTCCATATGTGTGGCGAATGCTTGAAGAACTGTTTCTCTTTCTTTTTCTGTCGAGCGCGTCCTTTTGGTTTTGCCATAAGGAGATGCTAGAAGAAGAACCATGTATTTTTAAAATAGTGTATACATATTAAAAGCGATAAATAATGAATCACAAAAATAGATATAAATTAAATAAATTAATAAATGATAAAAATATATATATATCAATTAAACAAAGTATGTTAAAATATAAAAATAAAATTTTATTTTATTAGCTTTACATTTTACAATTTAATTATTAATATAATAGAGAGTCATGAAAGAAAATAGTAAAAATTAAGCAAAAATTCTCGATAATATTTATAATTTATATATTTTTAAAATTTTTTCTAAATGATTTTTTTTCAATAGCTTTTCAACACATTCAGCAATTACTACAACACTATCTTGAATAGTCACATTTTAATATTGCTTATCAAAGAAATAAACCTAAGAAAAATATAATTCATAAAATTTATTGTAATGCTATTCAATAGCGTATAACATTTTTTAATATGTAGCTTTTAACGTTGTAAATATCACTATGATTAATTGCAACTTTTTTAATATTTATATATTTTGTTAACATTTATGAAACATTTCTGCAACAGTCGAAGAGACTATTGTTTAGTAATATCTTTGAAGTATTTTTAAAATAAGTGAATTTTAAGTAAAAATTTTCACAAGATATTTTTAAAATCAAATGTTAACCTAATATATATATTCTCTGTATTTATTGTATACACAACCAAAATATAAATTTTAATAAATTTTAAAAATTAAATTTTAATAAATTGATGTAAAATACTTACTGGATCTCTTCCGTTTATTATTTTTTTGTATTTTGTTAGTAATGCTATCATCAGATGCATTATATGAGGATGTATCTGAAATAAATATTTTGTTGACATTAAAAACAAATTTCGAATAAATATGCGCAAGGTGAAAAATTGAACTTGTTACAATCTAACATTCTTGAAACTTCCTGCCAAACAATCCAAGCAAGAAATCATTAGTATAAAATTATTATTTCAATAACATTTTATAACAAGTAATATTTTTAAGTAGCAGTTCTTAATATTATACATAATATTGTGAATAATATTTAATTTAAACATTAAACATAACATTTCTAGACTATGATTTTAATAAAATTAATAAAATATTAATTTTTCGACTTATAAATTATAAGTTTTATTAATCGTCAATATTATTTTAACGATTTTAAAGTATTTTATGTTTCTTTTTCAAGATCATGTGTAGCTATAAATTAGATATTGTCATATCTATAGATATCAAAAATATTATGTAACATTTAATTTTTCACCTCGTATATTTCCTGTTAGATAAAAATAGAGAATTAGTTCTAATATAATTACTTAAAGAAACATTCTGTTTGTCCATTATTATGTCGTTATTATTCTCATCTTCTCCATCTTCGTATTCGCTATCTGATGAAGATTCGTTTAAATCTTGTTCATTACCTTGGACTGCCTCTAAATATTGCGAGATTTTAAGAATATCTCTACTAGCTAGAGATTGTCTATAATGCTCTCGATGAATTTTTTCTGCGTGTCCCATGAATGTAGCTAAATCGGAAACATCGATATCATTCAGATTCAATTGTATACAATGAGTTGCTACGTGTTTCCGTAAAATCGTGCCGCGTAAACTTGATGATTCTATTGCATTGCATTCGCTTGAGAATTTACGCATTAAAATGCAAGCTCTTAGGTACCTGTACCTATTTTTGTTAGAACCGCGTAATCCAAAAAGATACGGATTTTTTTCAGACACTTTGGCTTCTTTACGAAATTTTAAAATTATATGAATACATTTAAGCAGCTCATTCGTCAATGACACCGGCACAGTACGTCCTAATTTTCCTCTTATGCAGAATCGACTATAATTTTCTGCTATTTTTCGATTCTCTTCTGATAATGATGTATATATCACTGTACATGTTTTTATTTATTCTTTCATTATTTTTGAAGTCTTCAATTAATATTAATTAATATTCGTTCTATTTCTCCTGCTCGTCGTCTGTTGAATACATGGATTGACGTTAGTGTTGCCTCTGCTAGAGAAATCCAATTTTTATAAGAAAAAGACTTTTCTAATGCAATGTAATTATTTTCTCGTACTTTTTTCAAATGTTTATACAATTTTTGAATATCTTGCATTGATGGTAGATTGATCTTTTTACGTCTTTTATGAGCTGACTGCGTTTCGATTACAGTTTTATTAACACTCGTTCCAATATGTACGATCAATAATTTTAAAAAATCTTTCACTAATTTCTTTTTTTCAGAATCATCTGCCTTTATATATTCTGTAATAAGTAGATTTCCTATATGCTTCAGCAATGTTGATATATTAGCCGCTACCGCTGGAGTTTTATACATATTTTCTTTATTATCGTATCCTGCTACTACATTTATTGCAGTAATGCAATCATCGTACACTTTTGGATGATAGAGTGACTTAAAATCTTCAATATTTGAATTAATTTTTTTTAATGCTAAAAGGAATCGTCCAAGAACGCGCAATCTTGCACGTATCATATCGTGTTGATGTTGTGCTTTATATTTAATGCATAGTTTATTTGCATACAATATTAATAATTCATCATAGCGTATAATCCTTGTTATTTCATCTTCCCTCATTACTGGGAATACTGTTTTCGCTAATGTTTCATTTGCCATATGGTGTATTCTGCGAGTCACTTTTCTGCCCATAACCATGATGCATTTATTTTTGCTGAAATCTTTTTTAAAGCATTTTCGAGAATGATGCCTTATTGTTTGTTTTGCAAAAAAACCTTTACATTTTCCACATGCTATAAAGTCTGTAGCAGATTTATTATGTTTTTCATTAGGACGTCTGCATACAATAAGTTTTCCATTATTAACTTCTGAGTTTATGTTAAATTTGAAATTGCCATTTCTTCGAATGATATCTATTATTTTTTTTCTTTCTGTGTTGCCTTTAGGTAACATGGCGAACTTTTTAACCTCAGGTTCATTGCGGTGTACAGTTTCCAAGTGACGTGAAAGTTGTGTTTGTAATTTCAAGCAAAAACAAAAATAGTTTTGTTTACTTTTTGTATTAGATTTCTCTACGTACATATTTTTGTCGTTGCATGCAAATATACCAGACGAAACATCTACACTTGATGCTGAGGACACAGTTGTATTTAATATTTCTAATTTTTTTTTCTGCTGTGTCTGTTCGTTATATTCCAATGAACGTAGTTCATCTTCAGATGGCAAATATTTCGATTCACTGCTATTATCATCGTTAACATCTAAGATATAAATGTAAATTAAATAAATACATGCATTAACATATAGCTGTAATATCCTTGATTTAGATGCATCTTATAAATATATTAATATTTGCTTATATTTTTATTATCGTTCTCTCAAAATTTTTCAAATGACACTACAAATATCATTAGAGAAATAACATTATAAATGTTATAAAATTAAATTTCATGGGAAACTATATATGTATTATATGTACATTCACGATTAATCATTCATCCCATTTTAGATCTAATGAAACTAATCTAAAGGATGTGTATTCTAATATATCTGTAAGATTTATACATGTGCATAGAGCTCATATGTATAAAGGCCCTTGGCACAATGCTAGGCAATAGGCAATAAGAACAGAAATAGTATTTATTCTCTGCTGATTTAGAATGGAGCGAATTATCAATCATAAGTGTATATAACTTTTAATATAAAATTTTAGGTTTAATTAAATCTATTTTTTTACTTTTCTTATAAAATCTTATTTTATTTATGGTATATATATATGTAAATATGTTGCAAATAAACAAGAAACTGTACAGAAAATGAAAAACAAAAGTAATAATATATTTTATATTTATGTATGTATTATTCAAAACATAACATGTAACTGCAAAAAATTAAAAAAATCCAATTTTAATTTGGATATTCATGTTTATATTATGCATCAAAATCAAGGTCATGACAGCTATAATTCTTTTATTTAATTCTTTTGTAATTTCTTTTATAAAGTTGTCTATTATTATGCTATCACTATACAGAGAAACACATGTGCATTATACAGATTCTTAAAACTTTTAGCAGATAGTTTGTTACATTATGTATTAAATTTTGTATAAATTATTCGTAAACTTATTTCTTTTAAAAATAGTCAGATATGATATGACAGTTTTGCAGACAATATTATAATGGCTACTCTCATTGCAAAAGAATTAAAATAAATTAATAATAATGTAGATTAATCGATATAATTTACATTAAATAACACATGAATAATTTTTAAAAAACCATGTACATACCATGCAATGTAGATATTGGGGATAGTATTGCAGAATGTTCTGAAGATGATATAGGATTAATGTTTTCTTTATCGCACGTTGTACTTTGAATAGAAGGTATACACACATCTATCAAATCAGCATCTGTCAAATCTTGTAAACAGAAATATGATTATCAAATCGGAAAACTAATCAATAATAACATATGAAAAATTTAGAAAGCAGCCGCATGGTTATAAACAAATAATTAAATATGTTAGAAAAGTATTTATATATATTTTTAATTAAAATTGTCATAATTTTTAAAATTACATTTTTACATTATTACTATATATTACGTAATCTGAGAGCACTCTTCAACATGGCAAAATAAAATATTTACTAAATATTTATGTTTTTAACAAATGTTTAAACTTGATTAATACGTTAAAAAATCTATGCAGTATTTTAATAGTAATTATTGTGAAATATTCTATTTTTTGTTTACAAATAAACATAATTTTCAAATGTTCTTTGTACATTAATTACAAAAATCGATATACAATAATCTACATACCAATATTACTGAAATTTAATTTTTTCGCACAATTATTTAAATTGGTAGATGTGACATCATAACACATATCTGAAAATAAATTTATAAATATGATAGAAATAAATATTTATTACAACATAGAAAATAATGCATTTTCATATATTAGATGTTTAACTTTAATTGATGTAACTGACTTATCGGAATTGTTATTTATGTTAAAAAATACATTATTTTATTTAAAAAATTATAGAAACAAACTTGAATTTCACAAATTTTTTTAGATCATTCAAAACTCAAATACATATCACAATCTCGTGATCTCCTTAAAATTAAATTTTGTCTAAAACATTTTTTGATCTGGAACGATTTTCGAGATAATCAGTTGTATTATTTAAAATTAGAACCTCTATATGTAACAATTAAAAATTACTAAATATTAAGTGCCATATGCAAATTTCAATAAAGAATCCATTTTGTATAATAGATAAAAGAAATAATAGAGACGAAAGTATTAATTAATGTTAAAAAAATTTACCTAAAGCTATTAAAATTTCAGAATTGTCTAGAAAATTATAGTTTTCGCTTTGCGTATCAGCTCTCTCTTTGTTGTTTCCATTTTCATCGATAAAGTTTGTCGCTGTCACAAAACTATTTCCTAAAACTGACAAAATTTGAAATTGTAATCACACAATAATTATTATAACCTAGTAGTTACACAAATATTTTGTAATCCGCTTCCGCGGTGTGAGGAAACGTTTAATCTGATTATACTTAGTTAATAGTATTGTTCTGCATTGATTTTTAAATTCGATATTAATATAACTCTAAGCTTTGCTCATAAAATAGGATATAGTAGAAGAAATATATATATAGAACAAGAGAGAATCTTTGGAGGACTGATATTGAAATACTTTTAAGAGAGTTTTTATAACAATTTTTATACTTTCTATTGCATTAGAAGTATTAGATGGTAGTTTTTTTATCACTATTATTTATATATTAGTACATCAATAAATTTTGTCGATGAAAATAGAAATAACAAAGATCGATACACAAAGCAAAGATTGTGAATCTCTGGGAAATATTGATGTTCAAAGACTAGAATATATGACTTTTCTAATGTCCATAATTTGTGTAGCTCTAATTGATGTGGCTCTCAGATCAGTATTGCATTCTTCATGGATTTATGTCTAACGTTTTGTGAATAAATCCATGAAGAACACAACATCAATCTGAAATCAGATCAAAAATTATACAAATTATTAACATTAAAAAAACTCATTTATTCTTTAAATATCAACATTTCTTAGAGATTCACATTCTTTATTTTGTGTATTAATCTCTGTTGGTTCCATTCTCATCAATAAAACTAATCGATGTTAATATTTAATATAAATTTGACAAGAAAAACAATTCATCTAATATTTTTAATGAAACAGAAAAAATGTTATGAAAAAATTAATGTTATGAAAACTCATTTAATGATATTTTAATATCAACGATTTCCAAAGATTCTCGAAATTCTTTCTGGATGTCTTTTCATTGTTTCCCTTATCATGGACAAAGCTCAGAATTATATTAATACATAATTTAAAAAATAAAAAACAAATATACTTATGACGCAACAGAGATTATTAATATAATCAAGAAAACTTATCTAATGATATTTCATCGTTTTCTAAACATTCGTAGCCTTTTCTTTCTGCAATAATCTCTTTGGATGTAATTTCATTGACAGATCTTATTCTTGTATCAATATCTAGTATAAAAGTAAAAAACAGAACTACATTATTATCTAACTGATAAAATATATAATTACAATAATAATAATTATGATAAGCTTATATGATAAAATAACAGTCATGAATTTTGTTGAGGAAACATACCTAATGCTATTTCAGCATTGTCGTTTCGTAAAGATTCACAGTCTTCGCTTTGTACAACAATCTCTTTGCTGTGTATATTTTTATCAATAGATTTTAATCTTGTATTAATACCTGAAATAAAAATAAAAAAAAAGAATTACATCATTATCAAATACTTATAATAAAATAACAGTCATGAAATTTGATAATATTAAGAAATCTAACCTAATATTATATGAGCGTCATCATTTCTTAAAGATTCAGAGCATTTTCTTTGTGCAGCAGTCTCTTCGCTGTGTGCTATATCAGTGTCACTTCTTCCCAAAGATTCACAGCCTTTACTTTCTACAGCAATCTCGTTGTTGTGTATATTTTCATCAATAGATTTTAATCTTGTATTAATACCTAGAATAAAAGTAGAAAAAAAGAATTACATCATTATCAAATACTTATAATAAAATAACAGTCATGAAATTTGATAATATTAAGAAATCTAACCTAATATTATATGAGCGTCATCATTTCTTAAAGATTCAGAGCATTTTCTTTGTGCAGCAGTCTCTTCGCTGTGTGCTATATCAGTGTCACTTCTTCCCAAAGATTCACAGCCTTTACTTTCTACAGCAATCTCGTTGTTGTGTATATTTTCATCAATAGATTTTAATCTTGTATTAATACCTAGAATAAAAGTAGAAAAAAAGAATTACATCATTATCAAATACTTATAATAAAATAACAGTCATGAAATTTGATAATATTAAGAAATCTAACCTAATATTATTTGAGCGTCATCATTTCTTAAAGATTCAGAGCATTTCCTTTGTGCAGCAGTTTTTTCGTTGTGTGCTATATCAGTGTCATTTCTTCTCAAAGATTCACAGCCTTCACTTTGTACAGCAATCTTGTTGCCGTGTATATTTTCATCAACAGATTTTAATCTTCTATTAATATCTGAAATAAAAATTAAAGAAAAGAATTACATCATTATCAAATACTTATAATAAAATAACAGTCATGAAATTTGTCAGTATTAAGAAATCTCACCTAATATTATTTGAGCGTCATTGTTTCTCAAAGATTCAGAGCATTTTCTTTGTGCAGCAGTCTCTTTATTGTGTACTATTTCAGTGTCATTTCTTCCCAAAGATTCACAGCCTTTGCTTTGTACAGCAATCTTTTTGTATGTATTTTCATTAATGGACCTTATCTTCGTATCAATATCTAATATAAAAGTAAAAAACAGGATTACATTATTGTCAAATTGATCAAATATATAATAAATATCATAATAATTATAATAAACTTATATGATAAAATAACAATCATGAAATTTGTTTATATTAAGGAAACTCACCTAATGTTATTTCACTTTTTCCCAAAGATTCACAGCCTTTGCTTTGTGCAACCTCTTCACTATGTATATTTTCATTAGATTTTATCCTTGTATTAGTATCTGAAATAAAAGTAAAAATAGAAGAATTACATCATTATCACACAAATACTTATAATAAAATACAAGAGTCATAAAATTTGCCAATATTAAGAAAGCTCACCTAATATTATTTGAGCATTATTATTTCTCAAAGATTCAGAACATTTTCTTTATGCAACAGTCTTTTCGTTGTATGTTATTTCATTTTCAGTATCACCTTTTCTCAAAGATTCACAGCGTTTGCTTTGTACAGCAGTCTCTGTCATGTATATTTTCATCGTTAAATCTTGTCCTTGTATCCATATCTAATATAAAAGATAAAAACACAATTATATATTACTATCATATACATATTATTATCATATGATAAGATAACAAAATTTACCAATATTAAGGAAACTCACCTAATGATATTTGTGCATCACCTTTTTCCAAAAATTCATAGCTTTTACTTTGTGTAACAGTCTCTTCTTTGTGTATATTTTCTTTGGCAGATCTTATCATTGTATTAATATCTAATAATAGTATAAAAATAAATAACATCATTACATTCCCAGCAAATACCAAGTAATAGTTATATAATTATTAGTTATAATTTCTCACTCCACAATATGTGTTATATGTACAATTATATTGTCGAGGGAGAAATTATAACAGTTATATAACTGTCATATACTAACAGTTATATAACTGTTACTTGATATTTGTTGGATTATTATCAAATACTTATGAAAATAAATAATCATGACAATGTTAAAGAAACAATATTAAAGAATTTTACCTAAAGATATTTGAACATCATCCTTTTTTACAGATTTATTTACTTTACTTTTATTTTTAAATCCTTCTACATATTTATTTTGAATTCTTTTACACCTAATATATGGTTTTCCATTATTTATATTTTGCTCTATTTCTTTTAATATTGTTCTATTATCTGAGAAAATAATAAATTTATTTCAATATATTGCTTAATATATTCATTTAATTCATTCTACTTTGCAGAGTTCTAGTTAAATTATTTTTTTAATATTCTTAACTTGGTATAAATAAATCCATTATGATACCGATATAAATTCAATATTTATATAATTGACAACAAATATATATACACTTAAGCCGATATTATACATTTATACATTTATCGTATGACACATTTTTTAAGCATATCGATTAGCTGCAGATTAGAAAATTTCTTGAATTTACTATTTTTTAGTAATATCGATTTTAGCCTTGCTTTAATAACAGTTAATTATAACTCGCATAGAAAAGTTTGAGTACAAATTGGAATTTGAAATTAAAATTTTCCAGCTGAATACATATAAGTATGTATGTACAAGTTATTAAAACTTATTTATAAAGACCATAATTATTAACTCTTATGCCGGAACCGGTAAAGTTTAATACTGGGATTTCAATGCTTTAATTTATAATGAATTTTAAATTCATTATGAACAAAAGCATTGAAATCCCAATATTAAACTTCACCGGCTTAGGCATAAGTTAACATTTACAACTTTCATAAACGAACCTTTTCAATAACATAAGAGCTACGTTGGAAAATGTTACTTACCATTTCTTGCTAAAACGGTTGCTGCGTACTTACGTTTATCACTGTACAACGCTTTGATAATACCTTTATTAATAACAACTTTATTTGATTTACACACGTAATGAATATCGTCATAAAATTTTATTAAGGCGTACATATTGAAAATGAAATTTTCTTATTACTTCTAAAACACGTATTCTTTCCTCAACTCATTACTTCTAAAACACGTATTTTTTCCTCAACTTATGCGTAATATGGCGGTATGGGTACTAAATAGTTTCTTTCCCGCGTTTTCGTATTGTAAAAATGGCCAGCAGGGAGAACCGAATTAAAGACTTGTATTCACGATGCTAGAAATTGGTCCGAGATCTCGATCTGAAAAGTGTAAGTCAATCAACTCGCAGCTTTTACGGAAAAATGCAATTTTATTAGCAATACATTTCTTGGATCGAGATCTCGGATCGATTTCTAACATTGTGTACACAAGCCTTTAACTCTGGCTGCGTTCGTTTTGCACGCTCACGCCCTGTAAGCATCATTCTGTCTTTATTGCACATTGCATATCGAACAAAGATAGAGCGATGCTATCAGCGCTAAAAGCGTCAAAACGAATGCAGCCTCTGTATTATGTTATAAGTTGTGAGTTCGGTTACGGTTGGAATTGACCAATGAGAGTAGCCGGCCGACAAATTGCCTCTACATATGATATGCTGTAAACAATAATTCTATTATGCGTCGTCTACAATGAGATTTTAAGGAGACTTAAGGCGTAAGACTTAAGAAATTGACCAATCACAGTCAAGTATTAAGAGAATACTTGACTGTGAATGGTCAATTCTTTGAGATTTACGCCTTACAACCTTATGCTACGGCCATTGTAGAATGGCCTTTAAGCATCGTCTACAATGGCCGTAGCATAAGGTTGTAAGGCCATAGTCGTAAGAAATTGACCAATCCCAGTTAAAGTTCAGGAGAATAATCAACTGTGATTGGTCAATTTCTTACGACTACGGCCATTGTAGACGACGCTTTAGGGCCGCTTCGACCAAACTCTGATTAACTTAATCGTTGATTAAAGGATTGCCAACATGACAAAATAATTCAGTGTGACCAATTGTATTTCTAACAATATACAGAGAGAAGCCAATATAATTGTAGAAATACAATATATCTATGTTAATATGTCTATGCTTACTATTCAATCATGATTGGTCGATTTCCTTATTGTTCAAGTCTTACTGCTTATATTCAGGTGAAATACCAATAATAGATAAAGCATTGTTACAAACCTGAACTACGTACACGAACTACGTGTGAAAATTGATCCGCTCCATAGGTATTCAGCAGAAAAAAGCTGTTTTGCAATCGTTATAAAATTCGTGAATCTGATTGGCGTATGTTCTTGAATTCAGCCAAAATTAAGAGCATGCACCAATATATATCGCCACATAATTCGTAATTTTTACAACAATTGCAAAGGAGCTTTTTCTATTCCATGTTTGTAATGATGCTTTATTAATGGTATTACACATTATATATGTCATATATTTTATGATAGAGTCAATACATACGCAAAGTTAGGATATTTATTGTGCATGCAGTAGAAAATGTAGAAAAACGTTCTGTTATTTTGTATATGTTTCACAATATGTATAGTGATTTATACATATAATTTTTTATTTTCAACTAATGTTCCCCGGGGACAGGCCCCCGGGGTGCTGATATACAATCAGCGACACTTACGCCGCGCGCAACCTTCAATAATTCATGGGCGGGGATAATCGCCCCCCCCCGCCAGTGGGCCGAGCAACACGCGCGCGGAGGGAGGAAAAACCTCCCCTCTATCATGAACATTTTGATAGTTCCTTTGCCCGGTTGGTTGGCCGGAGCAATTCACATCAATTACCATTGCTCACACCCCCGGGTCGAACGCAAGCGGAAAAAGTCATGAAATTAAAAAGGACCCGGGGCGAGCACGCGGCAAGAAACAAGAAAATAATAAAAATAGGAATACGGATTTCTCACGGCATTCACACTCGTATAAAATACAATAATGTTTTCGCGACATTCACACTCGCTAACTGTTAAGGATTCGCCCTGAATCGCGCATAAAATTATTACCCCCGGTCATACTAGCGCCATCCGTTTGCGCGCTATCGAACCCGCGTTCACGTACGCCGTTACTGTTTTTCAAAAATCATCCAGGATCCGCGTGATCACGCGAAATAATACACGGTCCTGGCCAATAAACAGGCTTACATATCACGCGATCTGACGTAATGATCAGGGATACGTCGAGTTCCGATCATACGATCCGTGATCAAATCTTTATCTATCGGGAGAAAGGCTTTCTCCCCGAGAGTCTTCCGTTTTCCATCATAGTGATCGGAGCGTCATACGGAGAGTAAAAATAGTGCAAATTCGAGAGTTCGCGATAATCTTAACGAGCAAAGTTAAGATTCATTTCATTAGTCTCACGCGTGCGAAATCCTTCAACCGCGAGCCTCAATCATTGTAACAGTTTCGCGAAGTAACATTGTGCGCGCCAGTCATCGTGTCCGCAGTGCACGTGAACAGTTCAAACGCGAGTGCCGGGATCTTTCGGAGCGCCTCCACTCTCAGCCAGAGGCGGAGCCTTCGTCGTACCGCCACTCCGTTCAAGCGAACTGGGCGTCTCTCTCGCTCTCCCGCGAACGGCCGATATAGCGCCGTCTCGCTCGCTCTCACGCGAACGGCCGATCTAGCGCCGTCTCGCTCGCTCTCACGCGAACGGCCGATATAGCGCCGTCTCGCTCGCTCTCACGTGAACGGCCGATAGAGCGCCGTCTCGCTCACTCTCCCGCGAGCCGTGAACAGTGCGGTTTCGCGTATTCATAGATAGCCACAAGTCAGTTATCTATCTCAAAATTGGGCGAACCGACGTGTATAGTGCGGTCTCGCTCGAACTCTAGTACGAACGGCATAACGCCGTCTCTCTCGCATTCGTGGCGAGTCGCGTATAGTGCGGTCTCGCTCGACCTCTAGTACGAACGGCATAACGCCGTCTCTCTCACATTCGCGGCGAGTCGTGTATAGTGCGGTCTCGCTCGAACTCTAGTACGAACGGCATAACGCCGTCTCTCTCACATTCGTGGCGAGTCGCGTATAGTGCGGTCTCGCTCGAACTCTAGTACGAACGGCATAACGCCGTCTCTCTCACATTCGTGGCGAGTCGCGTATAGTGCGGTCTCGCTCGAACTCTAGTACGAGCGGCATAACGCCGTCTCTCTCGCATTCGTGGCGAGCCGTGAACAGTGCGGTTTCGCGTATGCATAGATAGCCACAAGTCAGCTATCTATCTCAACATTGGGCGAACCGACGTGTATAGTGCGGTCTCGCTCGAACTCTAGTACGAACGGCATAACGCCGTCTCTCTCACATTCGTGGCGAGTCGCGTATAGTGCGGTCTCGCTTGAACTCTAGTACGAGCGGCATAACGCCGTCTCTCTCGCATTCGTGGCGAACCGACGTGTATAGTGCGGTCTCGCTCGAACTCTAGTACGAGCGGCATAACGCCGTCTCTCTCGCATTCGTGGCGAGCCGTGAACAGTGCGGTTTCGCGTATGCATAGATAGCCACAAGTCAGTTATCTATCTCAAAATTGGGCGAACCGACGTGTATAGTGCGGTCTCGCTCGAACTCTAGTACGAACGGCATAACGCCGTCTCTCTCGCATTCGTGGCGAGTCGCGTATAGTGCGGTCTCGCTCGACCTCTAGTACGAACGGCATAACGCCGTCTCTCTCACATTCGCGGCGAGTCGTGTATAGTGCGGTCTCGCTCGAACTCTAGTACGAACGGCATAACGCCGTCTCTCTCACATTCGTGGCGAGTCGCGTATAGTGCGGTCTCGCTCGAACTCTAGTACGAGCGGCATAACGCCGTCTCTCTCGCATTCGTGGCGAACCGACGTG